CTAAAAGTGAAATGTTTCAGATTAAAACGAAAAAATCAAACTGAGTGGAAACTATTAATTACAAATACCTTCCTGAAGATTTTGAAAGACCGCCTGAACTGTTACTATATGGCGATAAATGTATAGGTCGGATAGCTGTAGAATTTACTACGGATGATAATTATCTTGAGTGGCTTGGAAAGGTTGCGGAATGGAAGAAAACCAGGAATATTTCTCAAGACTTTTGCCCAATATACTACCTATCAAATACAGCAGGACCTGATATTTCAATTGCATTTTGCTTTTCAAAATCAGAAAATGATATGCCGTTGGATAAAGAATATGAAGAATGAAAATCCTATATTCTTAACATTCAGGTCAAGTTAAGAAAAATAGCTATGATAAAAGAATCATTCAAAACTATCGAACTGAACCTAATGTTTAAGAATGGGCAATCAAATCCACCTAAAGCTAATGATGAGTTATGTAAAATCTACAAAAAATAGGACTGGTTTAATTGTAATATGAAGATGATTGTTGTTTATCCTTGTGATCCTAAGAGAAAAAGTCAATATCAGCAAACACCCGATTCATCAAGAAGAAAACGAGCAATACCAAGAGTAATTATCAACATGGAAAATGCAGACGTATTATTTTCTGAAGATTGTTAAGAGTGGATTAAAGAGTAGATTGGGATTGTAGTGATATTGAGGATAAAGTGAAGGTGAAGGTGATGAGTAATTTAATAAAATATAAGCAATGAGAAAATTTTTATGCATATGCAAAAGTTTGTGTTATTTTGCATTTAATAAAATCATGTTATTAATAAAGTTTAGATTGTGTATACTATGTGAGTGCATTGAAAAAAATACACACTCTGTAAATACTTAACATTAATGATCACATAACAACTATTAACTAACTTTCTTGGCTTTGATGAAATATTCTAATGCCTGGTAAAAATCATATGAGAAGATCACCTGAAAAAAAATGCGTAGTATGATATCGGGAAAATTTTCTCTAATTTTTTTCAACTGAAATGTCCCATGGTTTTAATAGCAAAATCTCAGCAAAATTTTAGATAATTTATAGTTTCATTATTTTTAAAATAATTTAATATTTGTAAAAATAATTATTAAAATAAAATGTTATAAT